TTCAATCCGCAGAACCGCAAATCCGGCCAGAATATAGGCTCCGTGTAGCCTCTTGTTCAGTAACAGATAGTTGTCTCAAAATATTGGCTTCCATATAATTTTGCCGTGGTAAGCTCTATTTTATCTCCAACATCCTCTGGACAAAGATGTTTTCCGGTCTCCGTTCCTCGAACAAGTGAAAATGGACTGAACGAAGAAAAAAGTATCGTTTTTCAAAGCATAACAACGTGGACAATATTCGTATTCCCCGACGGCCCTGGCACGAGTAAGCGCTTGCGCATGAATGCGAGGCTAATGCGGGGAAAAGTTGCAGCGAAGTACAACAAAGTTATGGCCGGTTTGGGAGAAATGGAAGTAAATTTTAAAAACTGGAAGGTTCCAGAGCTTAAAAAATACCTGCAGGCTCGAGGAATATACGGTCTCCAACTAAAAGAAGGAAGAATTAGTCGAACTGACGGAAAAAGCCCACGAACTCACTCTAGAATTGACCGACGACTGTGAGTCCATAGGTGATGTTGTGAATGCGGAGCTGGGTTGGTTACAAGAGGTGGTTTAATCCCGAATCCAGAAATCCAGATGGTTTCTAACCTTCGATTGGTTAGGTTTAGTTGCCTTCTGAATTCTGTTTGTCGTGGAAGCATTCTTCAAACGTTTCGTCTCCGGATCCTGGCGTTGTTTCACTTCTTTTCGTTGGAGATGTTTAGGAAAATCAAATATCGCAGCAACAGGGTTTGCCTTTGTTGGCCCTAACCCTCCTACAAAGAGTTAAGAGCATATACGAGTATGCCTTGTAACATTTAGGCTTTCCAGCCGGCATGCTGCGATCCACCTTCGACGTCTTTCCTGTTCACTTATCCCAGGAGCGTACTGTTTTTTTTCGTCATTTGTTGGCAACAGTGGAAAGTAACATTTGCAACTTCGGGGTATTTGATTGGGTTCTTTTCTTAGCCTCGCTGTTGGTACAGTTGTAGGCATAACAATGATGTTTCGGCATTTTTACGCGAAATCGAAGAAATCACTACATAAACACTACAAGTCTCTTCAACTTTTCTCCGCATCAGCCTCGCATTCATGCTCAGGGCCTACTCGTTCCAGGACCGTCGGGGAATACGAATGTTGTCTATTGGTTGTTGCCTATGTGGACTTTGCCCTGTGCGTGCGAAATACGTGATATTAGTGCAAGGTTGTTTACAGGGAGTTGACACGCAATGGGGTAAAGTCCAAGGTAGCTAATAGCGAATTTTATTCCTACAAAACGTCTAAGCTCGTAAGAGTTGCGTGGAAAATTGACCGACTGTACCATTACTTTCCTTGTGAACACAGTTAATAAATTAATAATAAAATAATATTTTTCAGTGAGACAGAATTGTGTCATAAAATTTACGTTGTTTACTGGAAAGTGGCATTTCATCTGACAAAGTCTAGTCCATACTGGCGAGTAAAAAGTAAACATGAAGTTGTAGCGGGAAAGTATCGTTTAAACAATATTTAATTCACGGAGAACTTTTAGAAGCAAAGAAATGGATAACTTACATGGCAGTCGACGCAGAAAGTAAATATAACTTGGTGGTCTTTTCAACCTTTACAAAGAGAGCAGCAACAGGGCAAAAAACAAGAACATCAATCAAATATAACTAATGCAAATGCCTTGCGCAAGTTTTACCAGAGTCAGCAAAACTAGCCCTTCCAAAACAACACGCTCTGGTACTAAATTCGTGTTAGGCCTTTAGCTGACGGTATGTGCGTTATTGGTGAAGGAGCGGTACACAAAACATGCACGTTTTAACTTGCAACTTTTAGAAAAAATTCCCTGACGACCTTTCTAATCCCGACAGATCATAGTGATAAAGTCCTCACGAAGGACAGCCATATTACACTGGGCAGATGAGCTCACAATTCTTGTAGATGTCATTCTTACCTCGTTCTTCAAGCAAAATTAAAAATGGAATTCATGTATGGCAATGAAATATCCCTCAGTCGAGAAAACGAAATAAAGTAAGCGCGGGAGTGCGTCAACACTTGGTACACTTCACTTTTTCTTTAATTATTCTTCGACTTCAAAAGCGCTAGTTTAACGTCCCTATCGTTATATCATTCTTCGACTTCGTCAGCGCGGGACTGTGGATGCACTAGTTTAACGGCCATATCATTTTACCATTCTCCAAAAGCTTGAATGCGGGACCACTTGTTTAAATGTCCTCTCTTTCAATATTATTTTTCGACATCGGTACCGCGGGAGCAATCCATTCATAACAGTCAATAGCGGCCGGGTATTCTGAAGTTGCTCCCATCAACATCTCAAGCAATATTTGACTCAAACTTTTACTTATGTTCCACTCAGTCTCCTTTAGAACGAAGAACAACCATAGTCGCACATTGATCTCAACTCTGCCGCTTTCCCAACACGACTAATACGTGTCCTTAATTCGCAAACCGCTCTCCTCGAGTCACGCTTTGATTTGCTGAAATTTGAAGACCTGTCAAACCACAAATTAGCAAGAACGCTCTGATTGGTGCGACATCAAAAAGTACTACAATCTGATTGGTTTCTGATACACCAAAAAAATGCGCCAATCCCATTGCTTCGAGATACGCCAAAAAAAGATGCGCCAATCAGAATGCTTAGACATACACCAAATTGTGCTGATCAGATTACACTACACCAAAATACACCAATCTATAGACGCTAACTCAATCTATAAGTTAACTTAAAAAAAACATAGGCATGCTACGCATGCAGGAGTTATTTTTTTTTTTGGGATACGTAGGTTGAAATAGGACACTATATAACTGATGCTGGAGTCTGAATAATTGTGGGAAAACATAAACTGCATTAGTACAACGCTTCCTGCAGTCCCCTCCACAGCCCTAATTTGAACGCAACGCTCTCTCTCTCTCTCCAAAATTGCATGATGAGACCAAACAACGACCTGCTCGTAGGTTAAAATTGTGCTTATTGCCGTTCCTTCGTCAGAGACAAAGTCCTAGTTATTATTCTGACCATTAAGGGCCAGAATCAGAAATTCCGTTTCGTTTTTCCTGTGCAAGAAAACGCACAATAGCGCGCAGCGTAAAGTAATGTGGTGGACATATCTATGGAACGAGGTTGAGTTTTGGCATCGAGTGTCAGTCAGATTTCAAGTACTGGCCGCGCATCAACGATAAGCTTGTTACAGTTTATACTCATCTTTCGAGTGAACTTAAATATATTTATTTATAGTACAAAAGTACAAACCTAGTACCGTGAATCACTACTATTGTCAAAGTACTGATGAAAACAACAACCCTTGGGAACAGTAAAAGTTTTGGCCGATTGTTTAAATTCGATTAATTAATATAATCATCTTTAATATGTAAATAATTTGAATATATCAACAAAGTTGAAACGGTAAATTGGCCACCGTGACGATTACAAAAGCTGACGTTTCGGGCGTCAGCCCTTCGTCATTCGCTCCGACGAAGGACTAACGCTTGAAACGTTAGCTTTTATCATCGTAACGGTCACTTTAATATGTAAACATTGGCGATTGAATCCATCCGTAAATTAATGTTGCGGAAAAAACAATCATACTTTTGTGACAAAAAAAAACTTGTGGAAGTCACTGCCACATTCTCTTAATTTTAATCAGTCAAAAACCTTGAGGTCTATAAAATACCTTCTGTGATATATGGTTTCGAGGCAAAAAAAACTTCAAAGGTTTGTTATTAGATGCAAGCAAGGGAAATCCTTGTAAACACGCAATTGTAACGGGAAAGTATCGTTTAAACAATATTTAATTCTTGGAGAACTTTTAGAAGCAAGGAAACGGATATGTACAGATATGTACTGATATGTACGGATATGATTTTATATACTTTTAAGCATTTTATTTTCTGGTATTATATTATTATTTCAATTAGGCTCTTGTAAATCTCAGTTTTTTGCATGTATATATATTGTTTTTCTCCCTGTACATAGCTTTTATTCTTTTGTTAATATCTTTTGTGTTTGTCAAATTTTGATTGTGTATAGTAGGTCCACATCAGCCCTTCGGCTGCCAAACAATCCCAACCTACCTACCCAT